GCAGTATGGAATGCTTCTTCGTCTTTGGTTCTTCTGTTTTCTGTCCTCATCAGAATTATTAAATTGTTTGATGGATTATGTAGGTCTTTGTAAATGCAAGACTTCATGTGTCCGGTGGGGCACTTGGTGGTGGACGCATGGTTGAAGACTCATCCAGTGTTGCAGGTTAGCAAACGAAGAGACTGATGTTTGTGCTGTTGGATTATCACTGAGGAAATACTTGAGTTTCCTTAAGAATTGCTGCACCACTTTTAGTCTTCTGTTGGCCATTGTTGAAATGCGTCTCATGTATAGACGAGAGTTGTATATGATCGTTTTATACTAAAATGTGCATTGGGTTCATCTACAATTCTCTGATTGTCTATTGTCTTTTTACAGTATTGGATACTGCAGCAGGTGTATGGTGTGATACGAAATCAGTTGTTACTAGTCCTAGAACTGGCAGGTATAGTGCCGATGCAGCTGGTGGTGATGCTTCGGTTGAGCTGACTAGGCGTTGTAGGCATGCTGCTGCTGCAGTCGGTGATTTGATATTTATCTACGGCGGTTTACGTGGAGGTAAAGAGAAAAGCTTGGCCGAACTTTGTTAATGTACATGTGATGCTTTGGTACAGACCACCGTTGTTTAGATTTCACAATTTTTGTGCATGCTTTTCAATGAGGATGAACCAATATAAACGGTTTGATTGTTCTATAAATGTGGCGTAATAGACATTGTGTAGCTAGTGTGTGATACTGTAGAATTACACTTTCTTTACTAGGTATTATTTTTCGTTAGAATTGAAAGACCATAACAGAAATAGCAATTATATAATCTGTTTCAGATTATGGTTTCACTACTTAATTATATATTATTGATACTTTAGGGGTGTTACTCGATGACTTATTGGTTGCTGAAGATCTTGCTGCTGCGGAAACAACATATGCTGCTTCTCATGCTGCCGCAGCTGCGGCAACAAATTCCCCACCAGGTCGATTACCTGGAAGGTATGGTTTTTCAGATGAAAGGAACAGGGAGTTATCTGAATCAGCCACTGATGGCGCTGTTGTGCTGGGAAGCCCTGTTGCACCCCCTGTAAATGGTGATATGCATACTGATATTAGCCCTGAAAATGCATTTCTTCCAGGAACTCGGTTAGCTAACTTTTTTAAATAATGATTTATCTTGTGCTATATTGTTAACACAGTGATGACTTTAGTGACAACCATCGATCACAACTTTGTAGGAGAACGAATAAGGGTGTGGAGTATCTTGTTGAAGCATCAGCAGCGGAAGCTGAGGCGATCAGTGCTACGTTGGCTGCTGCCAAGGCACGACAAGTCAATGGTGAAGTTGAACTCCCAGATAGGGATTGTGGTGCAGAGGCTACACCTAGTGGGAAACCTACATTTTCGCTAATCAAGCCAGATTCAATGGGATCAATGAGTGTTACTCCTGCAGGGATTCGTCTTCATCATAGAGCCGTGAGTGTCACACTTATTGTATTGAATATATCAAGTCTTGCAGTATACTACTTCGCACACCATGTTCTTCATTTACTAGTATTTCTTACCCCAGATTCTCACCACTAATGCATTTTTGGTTTATAATGATTCTGGCACTTTGTCATTAGGTGGTGGTTGCTGCAGAAACTGGTGGCGCCTTAGGTGGAATGGTTAGACAGTTATCTATTGATCAATTTGAAAATGAGGGACGGCGTGTCAGTTATGGGACACCAGAAAGTGCAACAGCAGCAAGGAAACTATTAGATCGACAAATGTCAATCAATAGTGTTCCAAAGAAGGTAAAGATTTTGGTTCTCAACATAATTTTCTGTAAATTATTGGGATTCATCCTACATGTGGATTTAAAAACACAGTAATACATTTGGTAATGTGTGATGAAAAGGGTACAATCTTGAACTATTATTCGATACTTTCTTTTGTGGCATTGGTTAGTCGTTTGATTGCTGTGATAGAACTCGAAAATGCTATTGTAAAGGTATACTATCTCCTGGTTTGCATTACTGGTAACTCATAGTTGAAGATTCCTTTGCATCCTCTATTTTGTTCAATTGGGAATCGGGTGCCTAAAGATTCGCTTAGTGATTTGGCCAGGTGTCTATTCGGGAGTTCTAACGATCAGTGACCTAACTATGTCATAATAGGTTATAGCTCATCTTTTGAAGCCTCGTGGGTGGAAGCCTCCTGTTCGACGCCAGTTTTTCCTAGATTGCAATGAAATAGCTGATCTTTGTGATAGTGCAGAGCGTATCTTCGCAAGTGAACCAACTGTATTACAGCTTAAAGCTCCTATCAAAATATTTGGTGATCTGCATGGGCAGTTTGGGGATCTTATGCGCCTTTTTGATGAATATGGTTCACCATCTACAGCTGGAGACATATCGTAAGTGCACCACTAAAAATTCTGACATCATTGGCCCTACTTCTTGCTATTTTTACTGGGACATTACTCATTCCGTTGTTTAATTGTCAGATACATCGATTACCTCTTCTTAGGGGACTATGTTGATCGGGGTCAACACAGTCTAGAAACAATTTCCCTTCTACTTGCATTAAAGGTAGTTGTATGTGTATTATGTTAGTTTTGACTTGATGCACGTGTTCTAGTTGCTTGACCATAGAAGGTTTGACATTCTATTTCCGGTACTGCAGGTGGAGTACCAGCATAACGTACACTTAATTCGGGGAAACCATGAAGCTGCGGATATTAATGCCCTTTTTGGCTTCCGAATAGAGTGTATTGAGCGAATGGTAATGTATTCTGCTTCTGAATCTCTTGTTTCCATGTTTAGTTGTCTCATGTTGTTGTTGCTTTGTAGGGTGAACGCGATGGAATCTGGGTGTGGCACCGAATAAATCGTTTATTCAATTGGCTACCTCTTGCCGCATCAATTGAGAAGAAAATTATATGTATGCATGGGGGTATTGGTCGTTCTATAAATCATGTGGAGCAGATAGAAAATATTCAACGTCCAATTACAATGGAAGCTGGCTCCATTGTGCTTATGGATTTATTATGGTTAGTCCATGGCTTCTATATGTTGGTCTGGTTATTTTTTCGGTCAAGTCTTACTAGTTTGTTAATTTGGAATTTGTTAGGTCGGATCCAACTGAAAATGACAGTGTCGAAGGTTTAAGGCCCAATGCTAGAGGTCCGGGATTGGTTACTTTTGGGGTAAGTATTTCTCTTTTGTTTTAATTTTATGTTGTCTGAATTTAGTTTTTCCTCCCTTCATAAAACTGGTTCATCTCTTTCTTTTCCCACAATATTTTTTCTGTGCAATGAGATGCTGCTATTTGTTAGACCCTTGGCCTCGAATATATGATATTTTTTTGAAACCGAGGAATATAGTCTAATTTGCTCCCAATAACTTACCATATGAAGAAGTGTTAATTGCTTTTGCATTTCATTTTTACCTGTTCTGTTACTCACTAAGACTTGACATTTGTAGCCTGATCGTGTCATGGAGTTCTGCAACAACAATGATCTTCAGTTGATTGTACGAGCACATGAATGTGTAATGGATGGATTTGAGCGTTTTGCTCAAGGACATTTGATAACGCTCTTTTCTGCTACAAACTATTGTGGTATGTACATGGACTCACTAGTGCCGTAACCGGATTTAGATACTTTGATGGGGTTATTTCTGTTTTGTTAATAATTTTTATACTAAACCTCAGGTACTGCAAACAACGCTGGGGCTATCTTGGTATTAGGGAGAGATCTTGTAGTGGTTCCTAAGCTCATTCATCCGTTACCTCCAGCACTTTCATCGCCTGAAACTTCACCAGAAAGACATATAGAAGACACATGGATGCAGGTTCATATTGCTTCATTTCATTACTGAATCTTGGTCCATAGTTTGACCTGAAACATTGGTACTTAGCGTAGTATGCACTTTTCGCAGGAGCTGAACGCGAATAGGCCAGCGACGCCAACCAGAGGACGCCCACAAAATTCAAATGACCGAGGAGGTTCTCTGGCTTGGATGTGAGGCAGACAAAGAGGCACTCGTGCACATACATACCGCTCCCAAAAACACTTGTAACATCTGCCTCCTGGTGTTCCTCATGTGTACAGAAAAAGATGAGCCATAGACGAGAAACAATGAGGTTTGGAGATATCAGGGGGTGTGTAAATTAAGATGTTAAAAGGTTAGAGAAGTCAGTTTTGGTGGTGGTTTAGTAGTGATTTGTAGAGTTTATTTGTTCGGGCTTTAGTCCTCTCGTTCATTTTTATTCAGTCTGCTGCTTCTTCCTTTTTATCAATATCTTTCTTTTTTACTCTTCAAGTGTCCTCGTTGTTTTCGTTTGTGGTATAGTTTCTTGGCGAGTGGATATGAATTCTTAGAATGGTAATGGTTGATTAGTTGGAGGATGGTCTGATGTCGTTGGGGGGGCTTTTGTGTATTTTAATTTTATTACCAGTTCATACTTTGTAACATTTGTGTTGATTATATGATACGAAAATTTTTCCTGGCTTCTTTTGGGCTATCTAAGCTAGACCTAGACCAAAGAAAAAAAATGAAAAGAAAGAAGTGTGTATTTAATGTCCTAGAAAGCGACTCTGAGTTGATTCATGGATCCTCGGGTGATGGACCCAGTCACTGGATTTGGTTGAGATTCATAAATACTTGTGCTTTGTGGCCTTAAAATGAAACAATGTTGATGTCGGTGTGATTTGGCATCGATGCTGCTGTCATTGGCTCCAAAAAATCTTTTGTTTTGGCGAAAATATTTGGAGAATCAGATGATGGTTGAAGTTAAGAATAGAGGGCATTAGATGGTTGAAGTTAATATTGTTTTGGATATACGATGATAATAAAAAAAAAAATGTTTAGATGAGTTTTGAACCTGATGATGTATTAGTCAAACTTCTTCTAGTCATCGCATTTGAGTTTGATTTGACAGCTAATGTTGTGATATAATCCGTAGCAACATTGATATAGTTCCTTTTTTTGAGATAAACCGCGGGAATTAAGGTCATAATCTTTTTTTTTTTTTTTAGTCCGTTCTTATTTAAAGAATGTCTTTTTGTCCCAAAGGACGTTCATATCGTTGATGTGGTATTGTACGATCGGGGTAATGGGTTCCGTACGTTGATGCCAACTTGTTGATATTTTTTTTTGGTGTGTGGTAGACTAGATTGAAAGAATAATGATTAAGCGACATTCAGTAAAAGACGATGTTTTGTTCTCTTTCAACAACAAAATTTTGTTGAGGTGTGTATATGGACAATATAATAAGGGATGATCCAATCCAAGTTTTATTACTTAATCAGTAAATGCTAATTTAGGGACATTATCAGATCTGATTGCTTTGATATTACAGCTAGAATGGGAACAAGTGGATGGCACAGAACAGATCTTGTCAAATTACAGAAACGGAATGATTTGGAGTAGCTGAAAGGAAAAGTTGAATTAAACCTTTTTCATTCGTTAAATCAAATGTATCATACACTGTACTATATACAATTCACTAAAGTATGATATAACTAATATCATCATCAATTCCTACCGGTTCATCTAACTAATCCAGCTCAGCATAAAAAACCTCACGCGTCGCTCCAATAGAGGGGAGGGCTTAACTAGTACCCAACTTACTGGGCTAGGTTCGACTCTGTTAATTAATTACATTTTCATTTTCCATTTAAAGAGACTTTAACCTTCAACGCTCGAAGTGCAACGCACCACTTATTTTCAATAAAAATAATAAAATAACATTTCATGAGTCCTAAACAAGAGTCTCTCTTGGTCTTTATAAATAACATCGATCCATGTACACAAAAACAACCAAGTCATCTTTCTATGTTTTCTTCTCTTTTTTGAAAAGTAATCAGAGAAACAAAAAAACACTTGAGAGCTGAGTGATCATCAGGAGGTGTTATGGAGAAAGTGAGAGAGATAGTGAGAGAAGGGATAAGAGTAGGGAATGAAGACCCGAGAAGAATAATTCATGCTTTCAAAGTGGGACTTGCTCTTGTTTTGGTCTCTTCCTTCTATTATTACCAACCTTTCGGTCCTTTCACCGATTACTTCGGTATCAATGCAATGTGGGCTATCATGACCGTCGTTGTTGTCTTTGAATTCTCCGTAGGTTCGTCACGTGACCACAATCATCTAGTGTCTAACATTTGAATATATATGTCTAATACTTAAGAATTTTTTTTTTTTGGCCATAATATTATTTAATTTCGGCTTGCTGTGTATTTAGGGGCTACACTTGGGAAAGGACTAAATAGAGGAGTGGCAACATTAGTAGCAGGGGGACTAGGAATTGGAGCTCATCGACTAGCAAGATTGTCGGGTGCAACAGTGGAACCTATTCTTTTGGTCATGTTGGTCTTTGTGCAAGGTAAACCCTAATAACACTCTTACATTTTTAGATTACTATGCATGCGGTTCCAGACTTTTGATCCATAATTTTGTGAGCTAAACACTAGATCAGACATATATAGTCTCTTCCACAACATCAAAACTTGAACGCGTGATCTTGAGGCAATCTTCCTTTGGAAGGTCTCCTAGTACACTTGTAGACTCATATTTGCATACATACATCATATCTAGAAGATTGAGCTAGGATTAATGGTAATATATATATATATATATATATATATCTGCAGCTGCCTTGTCGACGTTTGTGAGGTTCTTCCCATGGGTGAAGACAAAATTCGATTATGGGATATTGATATTCATATTGACGTTCGCGTTGATATCGTTGTCGGGGTTTAGAGACGAAGAGATAATGGATTTGGCAGAAAGCAGACTTTCAACAGTGGTGATTGGAGGAGTCAGTTGCGTCCTTATCTCTATCTTTGTCTGTCCTGTTTGGGCTGGACAAGATCTTCATTCTCTCCTTGCCTCTAACTTTGACACACTCTCCCACTTCCTTCAAGGTTTTTTTGTTCGTTCTCTTTTTCTTTTCCTAATTATGTTTTTACAAGAAAATTAAAATATGCATATTCGATTGTGAATGTAAAAGTGGGAAATTGGCAGATTTTGGGGACGAATATTTTGAAGCGAGTGAAGATGGGGACTACAAAGTGGTGGAGAAGAGGAAAAAGAATCTTGGGAGATATAAAAGGGTTCTTGACTCCAAAAGCGATGAAGAAGCTTTGGTGGGTACTCTCTATATCTCTCTCTTTCCCTACTCGCTTCACATTTGGATTGAATTTTGTATTGATATTTGCTCATTTGCGTTTAGGCTAATTTCGCAGAATGGGAACCGCCGCATGGACAATTTAGGTTTAGGCATCCATGGAAACAATATGTTGCCGTTGGCGCATTACTCCGGCAGTGTGCCTACAGGATTGATGCCTTGAATTCATACATCAACTCAGATTTTCAGGTATCACTAACTTTTTGTTAGGTGTTTGATTTTAAATTAAAATTCGAAAAAATAATAGGCTATAACATGTAAATATATATAATCGCAAATGCAAACACAAATAACATCGGTTTGAAATTCTTAGTCTGTTATATAGTAGATGTTTTTGTATGGATGTTTTAACATAGTATATGTTTCTTCTAACCCTTTTGTTTATCTCTTTTTCTATTAGATCCCAATGGACATAAAAAAGAAATTAGAAACACCATTAAGAAGAATGAGCTCGGAGTCGGGAAAATCAATGAAAGAAATGTCGATTTCATTAAAGAAAATGATAAAATCATCTTCTTCTGATATCCATGTCTCAAACTCACAATCTGCATGCAAAGCTCTTTCTACTTTACTTAAATCAGGCATCTTGAACGATGTTGAGCCTCTTCAAATGATTTCATTGCTCACGACTGTCTCCCTACTCATAGATATTGTTAATTTAACCGAAAAAATCTCAGAATCCGTACACGAGCTTGCATCCGCTGCAAGATTTAAGAACAAGATGAGGCCGACGGTGCTATTTGAGAAGTCGGATTCTGGAAGAATTGGTCGTGCCATGCCAGTAGAATCTCATGAAGATGATCATGTTGTCACAGTTTTACATGACGTTGATAAATCAAACAATTCGCGTGGAGAGAGTTCACAGGACTCATGTCATCATCATGTTGCCATAAAGATTGTTGATGAAAAACATGAAGATGGTGAAATACATGTACATACGAGCTTGTTAGAAGATGTGACCAGAAATGGCCGTCTTCACTGAGTAATTCGTTCCTCAAACCTCGTATTGTGATGCATATGAGGAGCAGTGTTTTGTACCCTCAAGATTATAGAGACGAGACCATCGGTATATAACGTTTCGGGTATTTCAGATTTGAAGTTTGTTACAAATACTATTATTGTAGCCTTTGAGCATTTCTGAACTATTGGTCACACATTTAATAAAGTCTTGGTTTTCGTTTTCCGATGCATTTACTCTTTTAAAAAGTTTTATTCAAATTTTAAAAATAGCATGGTTTTATTTTCGGATTATGGTGTTTCAGAGAGCCTCACTAAATAAGAACATAGACCGCCAGATGAAGGGATGAGGACAAATGGGGACGATAAAGACAATTAACTCCGGCAACAACTCAAGATTGTTACTATTTTCTATGACCACTACACTATGACCATGACTATATAATTATATAAAATATATCATTGGAGGAGGCGGAAATCTGGCGCAGTGAGAGGAGGCGTCGGCTTTTTTTGTTGATAACAAAAGTGGTCTGTTTTTTTCTTTTTTCTTTTTTTTTTTTATAATAACAAAAGTGGTGTTGGCCTGTGCTAAAGCCTCATGGTAATCCTTTCAATTCTCAAAACGTTTTTATCATTGTAGCTTTCATCAATGTTTTGATTTTTAATATACCAACTCTAGCTAAATGTTGCACTTGTTGTACAAAGTTTTTTAATTGAATATAATTTTACATTAATTAAAAAAAAAAAAAGATTGTTAGTATACCAATCATGCTAGAGATCAACAAAGCAATATATGTCACGTATCAGATGTCATGTTCTGGTGAAACGTATGAGATTATATGCACTCTGCAATAACTAATAGAATGTTCAGGTGACAAATTTTCTCACTAAGTCAAACTTAATTCATACTTGCCAATAAAGCAACAAACATGATCAATACGTAACCAATATATATATAATAAACACAAGCTGGAAGTTGTATTTAGGTTAGATTATAGTAGTATAATAAAAGTGCCTTGTACGATTAGGCTAGCTAATGGGTTCCGTACGTTGATGCCAACTTGGTATTGGCAAGGCTGAGTGTGACTCGGTGGAAAATATAATGCACCATCTGCTATCTACTTCCGCGTTCTAACCATTACCTTTTCATTTAGTATTATTTTTTACAATCCATAAGTCTATCTGCCGGAGAGGGATGATACAGATCCGAAACTTCTTTTTTGACAAAAAAAAATCTCACAATCTTCCGAGTTCAAGTCTCAATTGGAAAGCATGATTGGATATGAACATTAGGTATTATCAAAATTGTGAGGTCTGAAATTTTCTTGTTGACAATAAAAATATCTCATAATCTGTATGTTAGTTTTCGTAGAGAAAAAGAGAATACTAGTAGTGGATATGGTCAAAAAAAGAAAGATAAATTGGACAATTGGTCGAATAATATAAGGTAGGTCTAAAATACTGGTGAAAGTAACATATGTGAATGAGCAAATTAAATATATGGACGGATATTTACTAGCTTTGAAAGAGAGAATCGATGGGACAAATGACAAATTGATTGGCATGATTATTTATGTCATTTTTTTTCATGACATGATTATTTATGTCAATAACGTAAACAAATACTATACTCTTTTTTTTGGGACGGAAGAAATATTATACTGTTTATTTAGTTACTTTTGTTTACTCACAAAAATGTTCATAATAGGCATTTAGAAATATATTTATATTTGATAAGAAATTTAAAAATCGTAATAGTAATTTTCATTGAATTTTTTAACAATTTTTTTTTTTTGTGAATACTTCTTGGGACTGTAAATTGTGGACCGAGTTTTATTTTTTTTGAAGATAATTTGTTTTCTGTTAAATGAAGATAAAAATGAAAGAGTTGTGAATTACGATTTTTTAATATATATTGATTACAATGTACAGCTAGCAACTTTAAAAATGGATAGAAATCAAATGTTGTTGGATAGCACTATTTAATTTTTTTATAGAAAGGAATTCTTTGGACGTGGAATTTAATTGGCAATTTTGGAAATAAATTAACAATGAAAAAATAAAGCATGCTACTAATAGCCGCTTTTAAATATCGGATAAAATCAGCACCAAAGTAGAACTTGGTTACGTAAGTACTAGTCTCTGCGTCTAATTAAAAATACTCTGTCTCTAACTAATAATATTACTCATTTTCAATTTCTTTAACCCTCAACGTACGATACGAAGTACAACGCACCACTGAAGTTTTTCTTAAAATAATAAAATAACATTTCACGAATCCCAAACAGGACTCTCTAGTCTCTCTAAATGCTCTTTATAAATAACGTCGATCCATCTGCTCAAAACAACAAGTCATCTTTCTACTTCTTCCTCTCTTTCTGAAACTTATCAGAGAGTTGAGTGATAATCAAAAGGCATAATGGAGAAAGTGAGAGAGATAGTGAGAGAAGGCAGAAGAGTAGGAAAAGAAGATCCGAGAAGAGTAGTGCACGCTTTCAAAGTGGGACTTGCTCTTGCTTTGGTCTCTTCCTTCTATTATTGCCAACCTCTCTACGATAACTTCGGTGTCAATGCAATGTGGGCAGTCATGACCGTCGTTGTCGTCTTTGAATTCTCTGTAGGTCAGTATCCGTCATGTGATCAGCCACTTTCTAACATTTGAATATGTCTAATATTTAGCGAGAAAATATTTTTCTGTAAAAATTTGGATACAAAAGGTTAAGTTGTATTGAAATTTTAGCTAAAATTTATTTTTAACTTTTGTTTGGTGTGTAATTAGGGGCCACACTTGGGAAAGGACTAAATAGAGCAGTGGCAACATTGGTAGCAGGAGGACTAGGGATTGGAGCGCATCACCTAGCAAGTTTGTCCGGGCCAACAGTAGAACCCATTCTTCTTGCCATCTTTGTCTTTGTGCAAGGTAATCCTGATCACACTCATATTTATTTTTTGAAATTTTGAGAATTTGGTCCATATAAGCTTTTCGGACAGGGGACTAGAACAGAGAAAATTCAGTCCTTTAGTATAGTAGTAAGAGTCTAGATAACATGCATACATTTATCCCGAAATAAAAGAGCGTTAACCGTACGTAATACATATGTGCAGCTGCATTGTCGACGTTTGTGAGGTTCTTCCCGCGGGTGAAGGCAAGATATGATTATGGGGTATTGATATTCATATTGACGTTCGCACTGATATCAGTGTCGGGGTTTAGAGAGGACGAGATATTAGATTTGGCGCATAAGAGACTATCGACAGTGATAATGGGAGGAGTTAGTTGCGTACTTATCTCTATCTTTGTCTGCCCTGTTTGGGCAGGACAAGACCTTCATTCTCTCCTTGCCTCCAACTTTGACACACTTGCCCACTTCCTTCAAGGTTTTTCTTTTCTTCTCTAGGTTGATTATATATAATCCTTACCTAAAAATACTTCTAAAGCAAACTTTCCTCCCCCTCCCCCCCAAAATACTACAATGAAGAAGTATTTTATAAACTTGTTGAAAACTTTATTTTGGGAAATTAAAAAAGTTTATGGTATTTTTGAGATTTCTCATATATGTATATTCGGTTATGAACTAAAAAGTGGGAATTTGGCAGAATTTGGGGACGAATATTTTGAAGCGACAGAGGATGGGGACATAAAAGAGGTGGAGAAGAGGAGAAGGAATCTTGAGAGATATAAAAGTGTTCTCAACTCAAAAAGCAATGAAGAAGCTTTGGTGGGTACTCTCTCTAGCTATTTCCCTACTTCTCGCTTCACTTCTATAATTATACCCTTTTTGAAATAACTTGGACTTGATTTTGTATTGATATTTGTTCAATTTGTGTTCAGGCTAATTTCGCAAAATGGGAACCGCGTCATGGCCAATTTAGATTTCGGCATCCATGGAAACAATATATTGCCGTGGGTGCATTACTCCGGCAATGTGCTTGCCGGATTGATGCCTTGAATTCAAACATCAACTCAGATATGCAGGTGAAAACAAATGCTAACACTAAATGAATTCTTAGTAGTCTTTATGTTTTTTATATGGATAATGTTCCTTCTAACCCTTTGTTTTATCTATAATTTTTCTATTAGATCCCAATGGACATTAAAAAAAAATTAGAGGAACCATTAAGAAGAATGAGCTCGGAGTCGGGGAAGTCAATGAAAGAAGTGTCCATTTCATTAAAGAAAATGACAAAATCATCTTCTTTTGATATCCATGTAGTAAACTCACAATCTGCCTGCAAAACTCTTTCAACTTTACTTAAATCAGGCATCTTAAAAGATGTTGAGCCTCTACAAATGATCTCATTGATGACGACAGTCTCTCTGTTCATTGACATTGTTAATTTAACCGAAAAGATCTCAGAATCCGTACATGAGCTTGCATCCGCAGCAAAATTTAAGAACAAGACGAAGCCATCCAGGTCAGATTCGGGAAGGATTGGTCATGACATGCCAAATAAATCTCATGATGATCATCATCGTCATCGCGTTGTTACAATTTTATGTGATGTTGACACATCAAACAATGTTGATCAATCGCATGGAGAGATCTCAGTGGACTCATGTCATCATGTCGCGATAAAGATTGACGATGATGATTCGATTCATGAAAAACATGAAGATGGTGATATACATGTACATACGAGTCGTGTATCATGTGAGCACACTAATGCTAGTGATCTTTTAGTTAGTGGCGTTAAAAAGAATTAGTAATAAGCAATAACTAACAATTTATTATAGGATTTAGAGGTGCCGGGAAGGGGACTAATCATGTATATTAAATAAAGTTCCTTCGAACAGGATTTGTTATTAGGTCCAATTACCTAATTAATTCGACCATGTTTTTCCTCTGTTTTCCGATTTTTGTGTTTCCAACCAAGTTATGCAGTTTTTATTAACTTGAATGTAGGCAACAACATTACACCGATGTTTTCAGATTACTACGTCTACGTGTATGTTTCTTACGCTTGAAATTTTCTCTGTAGTCGATGAACTAGTGCAATATTTTCCGCAAACAATAATAGTAATTTAAAAAAGCCAATTGGTAAATCATAAAAGAAAGCTAATATAAATCAAACAATATAAACCAAATTTTGTTTTTTCATGTGTACCTCCTTGATGATGCAGACATGTGTAAAATCTTTTCTAATCCAAAACAATAAAGGAAATATGTGTGTATCATCACTTTCTATGATAAATACGTTTATTAATTATTCGTTACAAACTTACAAATTCATATCTAAGAAGTTGAAGGTTGATACAACTGATAATAATTGCAGAGAAATTGAGAAAATTTAAACTGAAAAATACTTATGTGTAAAGTCAAGTAATTACGGAAGTGTAATGTGGGACTTATATGGCAGATACGAATATTCATTGAGAAAATGTAAAATCCTCATATATCACTATCTATATACTATGATGTACATATGCATGCGCGTTTGGTTTTCGAAAATCTATATATATATAATGAGAGAGTTTTCTATCCTCTTAAGGTGTCCACATCATAATGTTAAACATCCAATTGAAAAAAATCATGTCATTTTTATATTAATGTCTAATTATAATGTTCATTTAATTCATATAATTTAACTTTTGAGAAATTGCCTCTAATAGCCCCAAATCAAGTTTTGGAGACAATAATAGCACTCAAAAGTTGATTGGACAAAAATAGCACCATATTTTGATTTTTTTAATTAATAAATAATTATAAATAAATATAAAAAATCACAAATTCATCGTTAATATTTTCCCGCCAAAACAAAATTCCGTCAAAATTTTCCCGCCAAAAAAAATATCGTCAAAATTTTCCGCCAAAATATTTTCCGTTCCCAGAAAAAAATATCGTCAAAATTTTCCCGCCAAAAAATATTCCGTCCGACTTTTCCCGCAAAAAAAAAATCCAAGAAATTCAGGAAGGATTTCACGTAATTTAGGAAGGATTTCACGAATCGGAAAACCCTTCCTGAATTACGTGGAATCCTTCCTAAAGTTCATGAAAGCCTTCCTGAATTACGTAGAATCCTTCTTGAATTACGTGGAATTCTTCCTGAATTTTGTGTAATCTTTTTAGGAATCCTTTCCTGAAATTCAAGGAATCCTTTCTAAATTTTGTGGATTTTTTTTTGCGGGAAAATTTTGACGGAATTTTTTTTTTTTGCGGGAAAATGTTGAAAAAAAAATTGGCGGGAAAATAAATTTCTGTTGCGGAAATTTTTTGGCGGGAAATTTCTAATTTTATTTATTTATTTATTTTAATTCAACTAATTAATAATATTTAATATTTATTTAAAGTTTATAGTGCTATTTGTGGAACTTTTCAAACGTAGTGCTATTTTTGGAAGAAAAACTTATTTTAGTGCTATTTTTGTCAATCTCTCTTAACTTTTCACATAAAACAAATAATAAATCCTGACATTAAATACATAAAGAAAATTAAAAACAATCATACTTCAAATTTTTTAAGGGATACTCACAAAAATGCCCCTTTTTTAATACCCCTTTTCAAAAATGCCCCCTTTGGCTGTCCATTTTTAAAAATACCCCTTTTTATGTACAAAATGACTAAATTACCCTTCTTTTAATAAAAGATATCACAAATATATAAGGAAATATAACCAAATTAGGTCCACAAAATACAAAATATTTTTTGGCGA